CATGTGCACACAAATTACTTCAACGAGCTTATAACAAGTGGGCAGCGCTGATCCAGCCAAATAACAGATCCCCAACTATGTCACAGATGCAGCAACAGTACATGTATGTCATTATTACAACAGTACATGTATGTCATTATTACAACAGCATTTGTTAGCAGCATCTTGTTTACTTCATCAGCAAAGCTGAATCATCAGTACAGCTGACAGCGTGCATACTGTATCAATGCAAAAGGAGCATCACATGCATGATTTACTGAGAACATGTCATAGCAGTGTGCATCCTATGCAGTAAAAGCAGCAGCCATGTAACATGCAATGGTTACTATTAAAGTCCAGAAACCAGACAGTTGTTTTATATGACTTTCCTGAGCTACAGGTTTATCAATCAATCATTGCTCAGCAGATATCAGCCTACAGGCCTATGAAGCTTCATTCCAGTATAGGGAGCTCTGCATTCATGGCTGTGCCGCCCCCTCTCTCCTCCCAGAATCCTCTGCACCCTTTCTATGCCATCTATCATCTGTCCCTTGGTGCCGCACAGCATTTGTAACACAGCGAGGGAGTGAGACCCCGACGCAGGATCGGTTCCTCTATGCCGGGTCCCACCTCACCCCACCGAGCATCAAGGCAGGCACGCCAGGCGGCATCAAGGCAGGCACGCCAGGCGGCATCAAGGCAGGCACGCCAGGCGGCATCAAGGCAGGCACGCCAGGCGGCATCAAGGCAGGCACTCAGTAAATATATCTAAACATTTATATATACACATTGCCCGGCACATCCTCCACCGCTGCCCCCGGAATTGTACAACACACTCCTGTATGCAAGGAGATCAGCACAAGCATCCAGAACTGATCTACAGACGCTGCAGCACATTCCTCCATTCCGGCCAAATATCACCCATCTCCATACAACTCTGCCAGCCAAGCTGTATGGGAGCCAACATCACCCTCACCTCTGTACAAGCCGCCACACAGCCCAGCAACAGGTTGTAGGTTACAGCTGCATCCCCCCATACAAGCCACTGTGCCAGCCGGCACCTCTGTGGACACCCTTCTACACTGTGCCAGCCGGCACCTCTGTGTGCACCCTTCTAGAAACTGTGCCAGATGTCCTGGCAAAGAGGGGGTAAGCAGAGATTTCATGACTACACCTAGTACTCCTCTCCATGTCAGGAAATATTGATTATATATATATATATTTCACCCCGTGTATGACCCCCCAATATACAAGGCACAGCGTACACCACCTGTACCACCATCTACACCCCCCGGCCACCTCTCCGTGTCAGCATACAACTCAATGTTGCTAAACAGCTTCACATAACCGCACTATACCAGCAGAATGACATCGGTGTAACTGTATGGCAGCTGTTGTCAATCTGAACACCTGTTTCAGACCTTTGCACTCCCAACAAGAGCATGCCGAACAGCATTTTTTTCCAAAGGACTCATTACTATACTAACCACACAGGTCTACACACCCTCCATCCCTGTACAACTATCTATGCCACAATCCCCCCACTATAAAACTGTCCCTCTGTACAGCCCTCCGTGCCACCCGACCCACGCACACCCCTTCATTCCACTGGCCCCTTCGCACACCCCACTATACCACTGTCTCTCTATACCACCATCTCTGTGCACACACCTCTGTACCACTGTCTGTCTGCTAGGCCCACTATACCACTGTCCCTCTATACATCCCCCCCGCCTGCCCCCTTAATACCACCGTCTCTCTTCACACCACTCCGTACCACCATCTTCTATACACCCCAATATACCCATGCCCCTTTGCATACCCCTCAATACTACGACCCCTCTATACCACCGTCCCTTTGTACACCCCTCTGTACCACCGTCCCTTCGTACACCCCTGTATACCAGCGTCCCTTCATACACCCCTGTATACTGCCGTCCCAGCACCCCCACCCACGTACCGTCATCCCCCTGTACTGTACACACACCGCTACCACAGTCCCCCTGTACTGTACACGCACCTCTACCACCGTCCCCCTGTACTGTACACACACCGCTACCACCGTCCCCCTGTACTGTACACCCCCCTCTACTACCATCCCCCTGTACACCCCTCTCTACCACCGTCCCCCTGTACTGTACACCCCCCTCTACTACCATCCCCCTGTACACCCCTCTCTACCACCGTCCCCCTGTACTGTACACCCCTCTCTACCACCGTCCCCCTGTGCACCCCTCTCTACAACCGTCCCCCTGTGCACCCCTCTCTACCACCGTCCCCCTGTGCACCCCTCTCTACAACCGTCCCCCTGTGCACCCCTCTCTACCACCGTCCCTCCTGTACACTCCTCCGTACCACCACTCCTGTACAGTGGCTGTGCCATCCTGTGTAAGCCCACACCCTCTATACCAGCCTGTGGCAGTACACATCAGCGTAGTCCATGCACTCACCGCCCCCGTGGATGAGCTTGTTGTGCTGGGAGGAGAAGATGGGCTCCTCCGTACGATGCTCCTCTCAGCCTATCCCCTCCTTCTCCGGCCTGATAATATGTCGGCGGCTGTGTCCCCCTGTGGAGGGATTGTATGGGGGCTGGGCTCCTCCTAGGCTCCTCCCACTCCTCCTGTCAGCACCGCTGCTCTGTGTGCATGGGGCGGCTCCTTGCACTGTGTCACAGCAATGGCCGCAACACAGCGACCCCTGCCGAGCAGCTCGATACACCGTAGCCCGCCTCCCCCTCACACTGATAAGGCCGGGTGCGGCTTTGCAGAGTTTAAAACCAAAAAATCAGATTGGACGGCGAACACTGAGCTCAGAGTATGCAGGTTGCTGATTGGCTGGCGGCGGAAGGCGGGAGCAACTCTATGCAACTGCAAGGCGGCACTGTTGAAATGTTCGCCTCATTATTATGTGGATGTGTGTGTGGGAGAGTCGGGGCCCTCCGCGGGGTGCGGCGAGCTCATGAACTGAAGAGAACCAGTCATGGAGAGTAGACTTGATTTTAAAGGGGCGCAGCAATGTTTTCTATGTTCCTTATTTAAACATCGTTATAAACGCATGGAGGCTCTACCCTATGATGGCACGGTACCTCCTACCCCTCCAGCACTACTTTGCCCTATAGTGGCACTGCAGCTCATACCCCTCCGTCATTACTATGCCCTATGGTGGCACTGCAGCTCATACCCCTCCGTCACTACTATGCCCTATGGTGGCACTGCACCTCATATCCCTCCATCACTACTATGCCCTATGGTGGCACTGCCCCTCATTCCCCTCCATCACTAGTATGCCCTACGGTGGCACTGCACCTGATACCCCTCCATCACTACTATGCCCTATGGTGGCACTGCCCCTCATTCCCCTCCATCACTAGTATGCCCTACGGTGGCACTGCACCTGATACCCCTCCATCACTACTATGCCCTATGGTGGCACTGCCCCTCATTCCCCTCCATCACTAGTATGCCCTACGGTGGCACTGCACCTGATACCCCTCCATCACTACTATGCCCTATGGTGGCACTGCCCCTCATTCCCCTCCATCACTAGTATGCCCTACGGTGGCACTGCACCTGATACCCCTCCATCACTACTATGCCCTATGGTGGCACTGCCCCTCATTCCCCTCCATCACTAGTATGCCCTACGGTGGCACTGCACCTGATACCCCTCCATCACTACTATGCCCTATGGTGGCACTGCCCCTCATTCCCCTCCATCACTAGTATGCCCTACGGTGGCACTGCACCTGATACCCCTCCATCACTACTATGCCCTATGGTGGCACTGCCCCTCATTCCCCTCCATCACTAGTATGCCCTACGGTGGCACTGCACCTGATACCCCTCCATCACTACTATGCCCTATGGTGGCACTGCCCCTCATTCCCCTCCATCACTAGTATGCCCTACGGTGGCACTGCACCTGATACCCCTCCATCACTACTATGCCCTATGGTGGCACTGCCCCTCATTCCCCTCCATCACTAGTATGCCCTACGGTGGCACTGCACCTGATACCCCTCCATCACTACTATGCCCTATGGTGGCACTGCCCCTCATTCCCCTCCATCACTAGTATGCCCTACGGTGGCACTGCACCTGATACCCCTCCATCACTACTATGCCCTATGGTGGCACTGCCCCTCATTCCCCTCCATCACTAGTATGCCCTACGGTGGCACTGCACCTGATACCCCTCCATCACTACTATGCCCTATGGTGGCACTGCCCCTCATTCCCCTCCATCACTAGTATGCCCTACGGTGGCACTGCACCTGATACCCCTCCATCACTACTATGCCCTATGGTGGCACTGCCCCTCATTCCCCTCCATCACTAGTATGCCCTACGGTGGCACTGCACCTCATAACACTCCATCACTACTATGCCCTATGGTGGCACTGCACCTGATACCACTCCATCACTAGTATGCCCTATGGTGGCACTGCACCTCATAACCCTCCATCACTACTATGCCCTATGGTGGCACTGCGCTTCCTAACGCCCCTATCACTACTATGCTCTATTGTGGCACCGCACCTCATACACCTCCATCATTCTATGCCCTACGGTGGCACTGCGCTTCCTTCTCCTCCATCATTACTATGCTCTATGGTGGCACTGCACATCATACACCTCCATCATTACTATGCCCTATGGGGGCACTGCGCCTCATACCCCTCCATCACTACTATGGTGGCACTGCACCTCATATCCCTCCATCACTACTATGGTGGCACTGCAACTCATACCCCTCCATCACTAGTATGCCCTATGGTGGCACTGCACCTCATAACCCTCCATCACTAGTATGCCCTATGGTGGCACTGCACCTCATACCCCTCAATCACTACTATGCCCTATGGTGGCACTGCGCTTCCTTCTCCATCACTACTATGCTCTATGGTGGCACTATGCTTCCTACCTCTCCATCACTACTATGCCCTATGGTGGCACTGTGCTTCCTTCTCCTCAATTACTACTGTGCCCTATAATGGCACTACACTTACCACCCCTCCATCACTACTATGCCCTATGGTGGCACTGTGCTTCCTACCTCTCCATCACTACTATGCCCTATGGTGGCACTGTGCTTCCTACCTCTCCATCACTACTATGCCCTATGATGGCACTGCACCTCATACCCCTCCATCACTAGTATGCCCTATGGGTGGCACTGCACCTCATACCCCTCAATCAATACTAGTGGCACTGTGCTTCCTCTTGCCAGCCCCCATGTTACTACTGTATCTAGTGGTGGTGTTCTATCGAAACCTCCAACTCCTCGAGATCTCCAACCATCTGACTTCCGGTTTACTTAGAAGTAAGAGGTTTGGCCGAGAAGGCTGTACTGCACGTGCGCCACCCGCAGCATTTTCCTATGAGTGGGGCAACTCAGATAAATAACGTGCTGGATTAGTCTGACCCTAGTTCATTATAATACTTTATTGCTGTGTAGTAAGTGTATAGGGAAATGCCGCCGGTGGCGCACATGCAGTACAGCCTTTTCGGCCAAACCTCTTACTTCTAAGTAAACCGGAAGTCAGATGGTTGGAGATCTCGAGGAGTTGGAGGTTTCGATAGAACAGTGGCACTGTGGTTCTTCCTGTTGACCACTTCATCATTACTGTGACCTGTAGTTGCCCTTTTGCTTTTTATGTTGACCCCCTACATCACTGCTGTGTCCTGTAGTGGCACTGTGGTTCCTCCTACTGACCCCTACTTCACTGCTGTGTCCTGTATTGGCACGGTACTTCCCACTACATTGCCAGTGAGGTTGGGATTGTCAGGAGAAAGTACAGCACTACTACGGGACACAGCAGTGACGTAGGAGTAATCAGGAAGGAAGAAGTACAGTGCCACTACAAGACATAGCAGTGATGTAGAGGTCAGTAGGAAGCTCTACTGTACTTCCTCCTGACAACCCCTACATCACTGCTGTGTCCTGCACAGAGCCTCTACAGGGCACAGCAGTCATATATGCTCCGTAGTTTGCGGCCGGCGGACACCTTACACTGGAGCCCGCAACTTCCCACAAGGTCACCTCTGCCGCCCTCTGCGCTCTGCCGCCCCGAGGCCGGGCCTCGGTGGCCTTGTGGGAAATCCAGGCCTGTATAAGGGCCAATAGGAGGGAGTACAGTGCCACTACAGGACATAGCAGTAGGGTTGCCACTTGTCCAGGATTCACCCGGTCAGTTCGGGTTTTGAATGCTGTGTTTGGGTTTCATGGCAGCAGAAACCCGGACACATAATGTCCGGCAGACAGGGGCAACCAAAATGAAGCCTGGCCCCCCACTGAAAATAGTCTCAAGTGTGATATTTACATATTAATGTGTGGCGCTATTTCCATATGATCATGCCACGAGTCATTCTCCCTACAAAAATGTCCACACGTCGCTAGTGTGTTCGGGTTTCAGTTGAAGAAAAAGTGGCAACCCTACACAGCAGTGATGTAGAGGTCGGTAGGAAGCTGTACTGTACTTCCTCCTGACAATCCCTACATCACTACTGTGTCCTGCACAGAGCCTCGTCTACAGGACACAGCAGTGATATAGGGGCCAATAGTAGGGAGTACAGTGCCACTACAGGACACAGCAGTGATATAGGGGCCAATAGGAGGGAGTACAGTGCCACTACAGGACACAGCAGTGATATAGGGGCCAATAGGAGGGAGTACAGTGCCACTACAGGACACAGCAGTGATATAGGGGCCAATAGGAGGGAGTACAGTGCCACTACAGGACACAGCAGTGATATAGGGGCCAATAGGAGGGAGTACAGTGCCACTACAGGACACAGCAGTGATATAGGGGCCAATAGGAGGGAGTACAGTGCCACTACAGGACACAGCAGTGATATAGGGGCCAATAGGAGGGAGTACAGTGCCACTACAGGACACAGCAGTGATATAGGGGCCAATAGGAGGGAGTACAGTGCCACTACAGGACACAGCAGTGATATAGGGGCCAATAGGAGGGAGTACAGTGCCACTACAGGACACAGCAGTGATATAGGGGCCAATAGGAGGGAGTACAGTGCCACTACAGGACACAGCAGTGATATAGGGGCCAATAGGAGGGAGTACAGTGCCACTACAGGACACAGCAGTGATATAGGGGCCAATAGGAGGGAGTACAGTGCCACTACAGGACACAGCAGTGATATAGGGGCCAATAGGAGGGAGTACAGTGCCACTACAGGACACAGCAGTGATATAGGGGCCAATAGGAGGGAGTACAGTGCCACTACAGGACACAGCAGTGATATAGGGGCCAATAGGAGGGAGTACAGTGCCACTACAGGACACAGCAGTGATATAGGGGCCAATAGGAGGGAGTACAGTGCCACTACAGGACACAGCAGTGATATAGGGGCCAATAGGAGGGAGTACAGTGCCACTACAGGACACAGCAGTGATATAGGGGCCAATAGGAGGGAGTACAGTGCCACTACAGGACACAGCAGTGATATAGGGGCCAATAGGAGGGAGTACAGTGCCACTACAGGACACAGCAGTGATATAGGGGCCAATAGGCCTCTTCTCTCTAAAAAGATCATGGCGGCACGGCTTAGGTTTGCAAAGTTGCATCTGAACAAACCACAAGACTTCTGAAACAA